TTGTCAGCACAAATGAATTTATTACAGTACATTTCCAAAATATTGTTATTTTATTTCTTTTTCTTCCAAGATTGGAATATAGTCTTTATCCCATGATAGACATTTATCCAGATATCAAAGCATTCTATTTAATAGTGACCTATACGAATACCTAGACGCTCTACTTCCTCAATTACTGTTATGCTCTATCAATATCTAAAACAAAATGTTAAAGGATCAGGAAGAAAAGGGAAAAAAACATTCCATTTTACATTTTACATTCAATTTTTACTTTAGAACCTGCATAATTACAATTTTTTTTTTACAGTTTCCAAGGAATGTTGAATAGATTCTACGTTTTTTAATGTCAATGCCATATCGTCAGCATGATGCAAATTCCGTGTTATTTCTTTTTCCATATAATCAGCTTGGAAACGTTATATACTTTCATTTTCCTTATTCTTTACCGACAAAATATCGGCAATAAAAAGATACAGAATGGCCGATATTGGACATTTTTTTACTTGATTCCTCTTTTCAATTTGCATGATTTCGAAATCCATCCATAAGGCTTTTACCTAAATATTGGGCTCTTACACAAGGTTTTTTTATTCACTTTAAGAAATTGTGCTCGAAATTATCTTTTTAGTGTTTTTTTTTATTAACAATAATTAAGCATATTTAGTTTGGGTGGGCATTAATCACTATATTTCCACCCTTTATATACGCTGTTTGTTCATATGCTATGCAAAAATGAAGGCCATGTTTTTTATAGTCTATGTTAGTAAGGCTAATTTGTCTTTTTTGAAATTCTTTCCCCTTTTTATGTATAAGGGAAATAACTGCAAGTCTTTGAGAAATGTTATTTCTCGGTTCAAGAAGATTTCCTTTATTATTATTAAAAAAACAAGGAAGATAATTGATCCCCAGAACATTGATAAGATTCATTTGGTATTCCCTCTAGATAATTTACAGGATATAGCAAATACTTTTAATAACTACTTTACAAATGTCTCCAACAAGCTTCTTTTTGGAAATGCCAAACGTGGAGTATGACCCTAATATATTATGTAATTTTGTTAGGTCTAAGCTTAATGATTAAACCTATTTTAGTATTCATCTAATTGAGGAAAGTGAAGTTCTTAACATGTTAAATTCGGCTGGCATTAACTTTTTGGGTCCTCGTCTTTTGAAAGTCGCATCTAAATATATACGTAAGCCTGTAACACGTCTTATTAATGCTTAAATTACCTAGTTAATGTTATTTTTCCAACAAGTTTAAAACAAGCCAAAGTAACACCTATTTTTAAGAAAGGTGACAAAGCAGACACGAAAAATAAAAATTTCCATTTTAAAAACAACTAGAAATGTGGAATACATTGCGGCGTTTTTAACTTCATTGAGTTTGCGATAAAAGAATTTTTCGCTACAAAACATAAAAGCAGGATTTAAAATTTATGGATAATTGAGTGCTACATTGGTTTGTCAACAATATTCACGTTGGGTTAATTTTCGGGGAAAATTCATTGAAATTATTGGGAAATTCACAAGTTTAATACCAAGGCGGCAAACGTTAGTTACTGGGTACCTTCATATTAAATAATTTACGTAAATTATTTTTTTCACAATAATAATAATGATAATAATAATAATAACATTGCAAATTAATAGAAATAGAAATTCAGTGACCGTGACATTTTTTCTTGGTTTAGTTTATTTATTGTTTAACGTCCCTCTCGGGAATTTTTTATTCATATGGAGACGCCACCACTTGCCGGAGGAGAATTAAAAATTTTGACCTATACTCGACACTCAGGGCCATTGAGCAGTGAGGGATCTTTTTCGTGCCAGCACCTACTGCGACACGGGACCTCAGTTTATACATGTACTGTCTCATCCGAAGGACCGGTCTCCACATCCCACAATAGGATTCGAACCCGCGACGTAAGGATCAACTGCTTACTCCACGACTCTAGAGCGAACGCTCTAACCACTGCGCCACGTGCTCAACTGTCCTTGAAATTAAAACCACCGTGAAATGAACCAACATAGGAAATCATGAAATATTAGAGACGTGAAATTAAAGACGTTTACAGTATATCTAAATTGTTTGAATAACATGTAGCTAATCTAATACAAAAGTTCACTTATGAATTTCATCTTTTAACGCAATCCCAATAAGAATTTAGAGAACTCCATTCTTGTCAAACTTCACTTACAAAACTAACAGAAAGTTGGCTTAATGCAATGGATCGTGGTGAACTAATTGGTATTACATTTATAAATTTTAGTAAAGCACTTGACTATGTGAATCATGATATTCCTCTAGAGAAATTAATCCATTACAAATTTGACCATACAGCTATAAAGTTCCAGTCATATCTTTACAACAAGACCCAGTATGTTAAAATTGGAACATGTGTTTCCAATACTCCGCCCATCACAGCAGGAGTAGCACAGGTTCAATTTTGGGTCCACTTTTATTTTTATTGTACATAAATGAACATCCATTACATGTAAAGAATTCATATATTGATATGTTCGCTGATGATGTAACTCTGTATTCTATTAATCATTATGCAAGATGTTTAGAAAATACACTGAATTCAGATCTTTGCGAGATTGAGAAATGGTGTGCTCAAAATCAAATGGTATTAAATGTACATAAGACAAAATGTATGCTAATGGGTACACAGCAAAGAAAATCAAAACTTAAAAAATTCAAATTTACAAGTTTATGCCTCAGACAAAACAACTGAAATGGTTGAAACTGAGAAACTTCTTGGCATACATATTGTTTATAGGTTACAAAATGCAAAACATATTAATTCAGTTTGCAAAACCTTAAACTATAAGATATTTACCCTACGTAAGATAAAAAAAATCTCCCCCAACATACCAGAAAACTATTTTACACTGCTTATATTCTACCCTCTATTAAATATTGTCTGACTATTTAGGGTTATGCATCCAAGCAGGACACGGAAAGACTATTTAAATTACAACAAAGGCACCCAGGATTATTCTTGATGCAAGTCCTGATTCTTCTACTAAACCACTGTTTGAGAAAAGCTGATGTATAAAATGCATTTCATTATACAAAATTTTCAGCGGAATGACTCCCGAGTATCTTTGTAATTGATGGCAGATTAATTTGCCCTTATACCAAATTAATCTCATTTAATTGACGGAAGCACATTACAATGTCGTTAAAACTAATAGTGGAATGAATTGGTTATAATCCAAAAGGCAAAAGACTCGTATTGGTACGAGTTGATTAATTGATAGCACTTCCTTTTCCCGCCATCCAGCAACAGGGTGAGGCAGGAGATCCACATCAAAATTATTATCGCAATCATCCGACGGAAGTCAAACCAATTTTACACGCTACCTGGACTCAACTATGCCGCCAGTTAGACAGACGATCACCTCACGCTCCAGAAAGGAGCGCGATCGTAATTTTGTTTCGCCGGGCAGAGGGCGAGGAAGGAGATCCAAGCGGACCACACACGAGGCGGGACATCCCACCTACACAAGACCACGACTTAGGGGAAACCGGACCAGTACTGCAACATCAACGTCCCCAGCCACAGTAACGGTGGCGGAATCAACACACGAGGCTTACGAATACGAACCCACAGGACGTCGGGAGGACCAAGACGAGGAGACGTTGAGCAACATCTCGGGTGAGTGTGACATTTTGCTCCCCACAGTAGATGCCTTAACACACCATACAAACAATAGTGAATTCGGTGGCCCCCCATTTAGCATTGCGGATTACCAACCTGCTCAAACACCCAGTTCTTTAGATCCCATTAGCGCCCATGTTCCACTAAAAATTAAACAAAAAATTTGGGAGGGAAAATTTGTCGATCTATCTATACTTCTAAAATCGGCGCGGGAAATCTCAGATCACTTAGATACACAAGGCCAAATACAAATACGCAACGGCACAATGTGCCTTGTGAAGCATAAACCCCACACCTTTTTGTCAATTGACAAATGGACTTCAGCCTTCATCATCTTCACAAGTATTATGTTAGAAAAATATAGATCTAGAGCCCAAGAATTTTTGAAATATATGAGGGATGTAAGAATGGCAGCAGACAGATCTGGGAATGGTTGGTTCACATATGATGAACAATTTCGGCTTTGCAAAGTGTCAGACCCACACTCGTCCTGGGGAATCATAAACTCTGAACTCTGGTTGATCCATGTCACCAACAATTACACCATGCAGGCCCAAGAAAAGCCCATATCTCCCACACAAAATTTTTCCCCCAACATAAACAGCCCAATATACCAGCAGCTAAGAAAAATGTAAATTCAGCACCCAATCGTTACTGTTATGATTTTAATTCAGGCAAGTCATGCAAATTCTACCCAAATTGCAGGTTTGTCCACTCGTGCAATTCATGTGGCGGATCACACCCCTCAATCAAATGCAGGAATAGAAATACACGATTCTAACGAGGATATCAACAGTTTAGGAAAAACTCCAATTGATGTCTACAATTTGTCTACTTATCTACAAGGTTACAGTGCTAAATCTTTTCTCATAAACGGTTTCCTACATGGTTTTCAACTCCAGTACAATGGCCCAAGAATTTACAGGGAATCAAAAAATTTAAAAAGTGCTATAGTAAACCCCAGTATAGTGGAACACAAAATACATAAAGAACTCATGCTCCAGAGGGTAGGGGGACCATTTGAATACCCACCATTCCCATCCCTTCAAATTTCACCATTAGGACTTGTCCCCAAAAAAGATGGAGATTTTAGACTCATCCATCACCTGTCCTTCCCAGAACATCAATCGATCAATTCCTTTATAGATCCAGCTGCATGTTCAGTACACTACGCATCAGTGGACGACGCAGCAGCCATCATCTCGACACTGGGGGCAGGTACTTTATTAGCTAAATCCGACATAAAATCTGCATTCCGGCTCATTCCTGTGGCCAAAAAATGATTTTGATCTATTGGGGTTTAAATTCCAGGGTAAATACTTTTTTGACAAAATGATGCCATTCGGTGCATCCATTAGCTGCGCAATCTGGGAGAAGTTCGCAACTGCATTACATTGGATCATTCAATCTAGCTCACGTAACCCCCATATTCTACACTATTTAGATGATTTTCTCTTCGCGGGACCACCAAATTCTAATCAGTGCCAATCTACCCTCGACCTTTTCAAAAATATCTGTAGCCATATCAGAATACCAATAGCTCTTGACAAAACCACTGAGCCCAGCACAACTATATTTTTTCTAGGAATTGAATTTGACACAATCCACATGGTAATGCGACTTCCGCAAGATAAGTTAGTTTCTCTCCGACAAAGCATTCAAACAGTCATGATAAGTAAAAAGGTCTCCTTAAAGGCCTTACAATCACTGATTGGTCTCCTCAATTTTGCCTGCAAAACAGTAGCACCTGGAAGAGCCTTTTGCAGGCGACTAGTTGATGCCACTATTGGCATCAAAAAATCATATCACATGATAAGAGTTAATCAAGGTATGAAAGCAGACCTTGCAGTATGGCAGCAATTTTTGAAACACTTTAATGGGGTCACAGTCAGATGCTCCGGTATTTGGTCATCAGATAACAGTCTACAGCTATTCACAGATAGTGCAGGGGGGTTTAATGGGGGGTTTGGAATCTTTTTTGCTGGCCGCTGGGCTCACTCAAAATGGCCTACCCACTGGGTGTTTTCTGACGTTATTCGTGACATGACATTCTTAGAACTATTTCCAGTATATGTTTCACTCCTGTTATGGCACCCATGGTTATCAAACAAACGCATACTTTTCCACATTGACAACATGGCAGTTGTACAAGTCATCAACACATTGACATCTAAGTCAACAAGGGTAATGAACACTGTCAGAAAACTTGTTCTCCTCACTTTGCAACATAACATTACAATTAAAGCCCAACACATCCCAACAAAACTGAAGAAAATAGCTGACAGTATTTCTCGTTCACAGTGGGGAAAGTTTCGCAACCTGGCTCCAGAGGCAGAGATGTGGCCCACACAGCTCCCCAAGCAGATATGGGAAATCTAATTGCTGAGTCCAAACGCCTTATTCATAGCTCCTTGTCACAAAACACCTACAAAGCTTACCGGGCTGCACTGAATAAATTCCAATCATTTTTAAACATTTATGGCTTACAGCAAACCTGGCCCCTGCACAGCAACATATTACTATATTTTATAGCCTACCTATCCATCCAAAAAATGTCAGCCAATTCAGTGTCCCTTTACATTAGTGCATTGTCATACTTCCACAAAATAAACCATCTTCCTGACCCTACCAAGTCCTTCCAAATTAACAAAGCACTTCAAGGCTTAAAGCGCAACAACAGAGTTGTTCCAGACAGTCGCCTCCCAATAACCCTACCAATTTTGGAAAAGCTTGTTATATCGCTACAGTCAGTGAGTTGCTCCACTTACGAGGTCAAACTGTTCACATGTGCTTTTTCATTAGCATACTTTGCATTACTTCGTGTAGGGGAATTCACTTTAGTCAACTCAAACACATCGAATTCATCCCATTGCATACAACTCAAACACATTCAAGCACATCCACACAAGCCCTATTTAAGGTTAACCATACCACACTCCAAAACTGACCAGGTTGGTAAGAATACCACCTTTATAATCCATAGCCAGCCACTTGCTACCCTGTGCCCAGTTAAAGCTACCTTGGATTTTATCGAGTGTAGGCCCAATACCCCTGTTAACCATAGTTTTCTAATTCATCTTAATACAAAACCATTGACGAGATACCAATTCAACGCAGTCCTTCAAAAGGCTATTGAAAACATAATACCAACACCAGGCCATTTTGGCACACACAGCTTTCGAATTGGGAGGGCAACAGACCTTGCATTACAGGGCACATCCGATTCTGAAATTCAGAAGTTTGGTAGATGGAAATCAGTAGCTTTTCTTAAATACATAAGGATAATGTAACTTGGTTCACAACAACATTCCCATGCCTACTAGGACTACAGACATCTACCCATCGATGCCGGGGGGGGGGGGGGGCGGGGGATATTTGGACATGTGTATAGTCGATTTAAAATCCAAAACTAACCAACCCAAAGCATTGCAGGTCTAAAAGTATGGATCATAGGATCATCCATTCCTTTTTGGGCAGGGGAAGCAGCCAAACACTGCCCAGGGGGACAAAGCCTGAACCTCCCTGCCACACTGCTATGGAGATCACGCAGGGGGATGCACTGGCAGGAATTAGACCCACAAATCCTACAGCTCATCAAGCATGAAGTACCCCCAAATTACTTAGTAATTCATCTAGGATCCAACGATTTGGTAACTCCAAACTTAACTAGCAAAAAATTCATACAAGAGATTCAGTGCAGCTTCCTGCGATATAATGCTCTTCTCCCAAATACTAAACTGGTGTGGTCACACATTCTACCACGCCGTTATTGGCATGGAGCTCCATTGAACAGTGGAAAAAAGATAGACAAGAAACGTAAAAGAATTAACAAAAATATCTCAAAATTTGTCACAGAAATGGGTGGGGGTGTAATTTCACATGCAAGCATATCTGTTGCTAATCCGGAATTGTTTAGATTTGATGGTACACACCTCTCCGAGCTTGGCAACAAAACTTTCTTAAATAACATAAAAAGTGGATTGTGGTCCCTCATTCAAGGGAAGGGAAAAGTATCCCTTGATGTAAAGTAATGGAGGAACATCATATCGATGTCTGTGGCGGGTCCGGAGGGATGAGTGGGAGGGTTGCGAACACATCTGGCTCGTTGTTTCCCTGCCCAGCCATCAGACAAGTTGGTGGGCACATTGTTGGGTAGACAGGTTGTCTAAAAGGATACAACCTATGGCAATGTGTAATAAAAGTCAAGTAAAAAGTCAAGTAAAAAGTTTTCGATTGGGGTCGTAGCCAAGTCTGCAGGCCTGGGGCCCCCTCCACCTCTTGTAACAGGAGGGGAGGCTTAGTGCTGGAGTACTTGGGTGTAAAAGTACTGCTGACCAGAAGCAATCTCCGGAAGCAGGGTATACAGATGTGCTCGCAAATCTCTCGGTCCCTAATGTCTAGTACCTAAATTTGGGATCTCGGGCATCTGTGACCAACACAGGGCCACTGGTTTTGCCTGGTACTTATTAGTCGGTATGCCAGCTATCCCTCCTGGACCCTATTTTTTGATTGTACATTTATGCAATGCGGCCATTTAATGCCAATTCCCTTATGTCCATCACAGTTATGAGTAATGCAAGATTGTATATGTTTTGTTCAAGTCTTTAATAAATGTAATGAAAATTATGCAGCTGTTGTCTATTGTAAAGCTGGCAACAAGGAAAGGTCATGATGACCGTATGTGTGAAAAGAATCAAGTAACAAGGCATGTCAGGTCCTGCGGGGCAGTGATTACCTGACTGTTCAATAAAGGCAGATTAATTTGCCCTTATACCAAATTAATCTCATTTAACTGACGGAAGCACATTACAATGTCGTTAAAACTAATAGTGGAATGAATTGGTTATAATCCAAAAGGCAAAAGACTCGTATTGGTACGAGTTGATTAATTGATAGCACTTCCTTTTCCCGCCATCCAGCAACAGGGTGAGGCAGGAGATCCACATCAAAATTATTACCCACCCACCCGTCCCCTTTTTTATATACATGTAATTTCATAATATTTGATTCGTACATTCCTTTATGCCACCTCATATATTCCCTAAAACTTTAAGAAAATTCTACCAAAATATCCAAACCTATCATCAATATGAAAGAGTTATCCGTCATTAGCCAATTCAATCATTGGCTAATGAAAATGTCACCAAATTGCAGTAATCTGCTGTCAGATCTTTTGCTTTTTTCAGATATTCAACAACAAACAGGTACCAGCAGGAAATCCAGCTCATAGGGATTGATGCGGAGAAAGGACAGCCAATCCAATATTGTGCACAAAAACCAGTCCGGAACAGTGATTCAAGACTTGTGATTAAACTAACTTATAGTGACAGTGGTTAACACGTCTATCTATAGTCTATTTACAATATTTTAAGACTTTTTCAAAACCCTTGTCGCATTGTATTTAAGGGGGGAGGGTCCGGAGGGATGAGTGGGAGGGTTGCGAACACATCTGGCTCGTTGTTTCCCTGCCCAGCCATCAGACAAGTTGGTGGGCACATTGTTGGGTAGACAGGTTGTCTACAAAGTATACAACCTATGGCAATGTGTAATAAAAGTCAAGTAAAAAGTCAAGTAAAAAGTTTTCGATTGGGGTCGTAGCCAAGTCTGCAGGCCTGGGGCCCCCTCCACCTCTTGTAACAGGAGGGGAGGCTTAGTGCTGGAGTACTTGGGTGTAAAAGTACTGCTGACCAGAAGCAATCTCCGGAAGCAGGGTATACAGATGTGCTCGCAAATCTCTCGGTCCCTAATGTCTAGTACCTAAATTTGGGATCTCGGGCATCTGTGACCAACACAGGGCCACTGGTTTTGCCTGGTACTTATTAGTCGGTATGCCAGCTATCCCTCCTGGACCCTATTTTTTGATTGTACATTTATGCAATGCGGCCATTTAATGCCAATTCCCTTATGTCCATCACAGTTATGAGTAATGCAAGATTGTATATGTTTTGTTCAAGTCTTTAATAAATGTAATGAAAATTATGCAGCTGTTGTCTATTGTAAAGCTGGCAACAAGGAAAGGTCATGATGACCGTATGTGTGAAAAGAATCAAGTAACAAGGCATGTCAGGTCCTGCGGGGCAGTGATTACCTGACTGTTCAATTAATTGAATTTCACTCCTCAGCTTCTTATAACCTGCGCTCTGAGACTAATTATGATCTTAGATTACCAATATTCCGTACAAACTTATTCAGGACCTCTTTTCAGTACTCATGTGTACACCTATGGAATAAACTTCCCTAACACATCAGACTCTCTCAATCTCTACGAGCATTTAAGTGTGATCTAGAAAATTACATTATCAGCTGTCGTAAAATAATTTGAGCACATATAAGATTTTGTTCGATCTACAATGTTTGTGACTGTCATATTACCAGACATAGGCACTCTATTCATTATTCTGTGATTGTAATTCCTTATGACTGTTATATGTTGAATTGTATATTTACATATGTACTTGTTTATCTTTGTAATTGATATATAGAAGGCCCTGGGGAAGAATAGTGCACTCACTGACCATTGCCGAGTTTTACTAAAGGTCGTAAGTCAAAACGTAGACGTAAACTTAGACGTAGCCATAACTTACGCCGATTTTGCGTTTTACTTAAGGTCGTATCTTACGATTTGACGTAGATTTACGTCAACGTGTGCCCAATAGCAGCCATAGAAAAGCACGTAGCTTAAATAAAAATGGCGACAATTTTATGCAGCATTCCTTAAGACAACAGCACATTTTCTGCGATAGGAGCCAACCACTGGACTCTTTGAAAGATTCGGAGCTCATTTCGAGGTATCGTTTCTCTCGAAGGGTAATTCTTGACATGATTGATGGGGTGGACGAGCAAGTACGACCAAATACGCAAATATCTCATGCCATCCCCACATAAGTGCAGGTAATTGTAAACATTGAAACTGAAAGAGCATCCATGTCACATCCCATGGCAACGGGAGATTCTAGCCAAGGAATCGTTAGGTCTAGGAAACAAATAATCCTTGCAGAAGTACTAAATATTGATATATATTATACTGATAAATGTTTCACTTTTGTTACCCCACAGAATATATTTAAAGAAAATCATTAAGAAAAAATAGTGCCCTTATGTAGTTAAAAATAAAGGAATAAACAAAATCCTGTATTTCCTGTTGATAGAGCATTCATTCTTTACACAACACATGCACACATGCGTTATTGTACATGTACTGTGTTTTTGTTGTTCTTTTTTTTTAAGGTTAAATATGGCGTATCTGAGCTTAAAAATAAAAATATGAGATTGAGTGTAGATGAACATGATATTTGTTATTTACGTTCAAATTAAAATTTTCATCAATTTGAACTTGAATAACCCCACGTTTCTATTGTTAAATTGACTTCAAACTGTGT